AGCTACGAATGTTGGGAGAAATCAAATCAAGCGACAGAAAGAAGTAACTTGGTAGAAAGGGAGCAGTCAGACACTTCAACAGTCTTGGTGACATATCAGGAGAGTGAAAGAAGGAATCAAGATATCTGGTATCTCGATTTAGATGCCAGTAACCACATGTGCAGCATCAAGGAGTTCTTTACCAAGCTGAATGAGACGGTGCAAGGAGATGTCACTTTTGGAGATCAGTCAAAGATTCCAGTAAAGGGCAAGGGCAAGATAATGATCCAGACAAAGACGGGTGAGAACAGGTACATCTCTGACATCTACTATATTCCAGAATTACGAAATAATATTTTGTGTCCAGGCCAGCTCCTTGAAAGAGGCTATGATATACATCTAAAAGACCTTGCCCCTCACTATTAAGAACAAAAATAAAGTTATTGCAAAGGTGAACATGTCTAGAAATAAATTGTTTACCTTAAATATTCATGCTGACTCTGTTAAGTACTTGAAGACAATCATAAAAGATGAGACTTGGCTCTGGCATCTACGATTTGGGCATCTCGCATTCAGTGGCCTGAATCTTCTATGGAAGGAGAAAATAGTGAAAGGATTGCCGCAAATAAACCATCCGAAGTAGCTATGCGAAGGTTGTATGAGAGGCAAATAGTACAGAAGAAGTTTTGAAGTAGGAAAGTCAAGAAGAGCAACAGAGCTGCTATAATTGGTCCACATAGATATTGCAGGACCATTTGAAGTCGTCTCTCTTGGAGGAAATAGGTACTTTCTCACATTTATTGATGATTATAGTAGAAAAACCTGGATTTACTTCTTGAATGAGAAATCCGAAGCCTTGGAGAAATTCAAAGAATTCAAGGAGACGGTGGAGAAGCAAAGCGGCTATCGCATCAAGGTGTGCGATCAGATCGAGGCAGAGAGTACACATCAAAGTTATTCGACAACTTCAACAAGCAGCACGAGATAATCCATCGGCTCATAGCCCGCCTACACAGCACAACAGAATGGCATAGCAGAGCGGAAGAATCGTACCATTCTAAACATGGCAAGAAGCATGTTGAAAAGCAAGTACCTATTGAAAACTTACTGGGCCGAAGCCGTAGATTGTGTTGTTTACCTCCTCAATCGTTGTCCAACAAAGAGCATCAAGTTCAAGACACCACTAGAAATCTGAAGTAGCATCAAGCCAAGTGTCAACCACCTGAAGGTGTTTGGGTGCATCGCATATGCACACATCCCGAAGCAGAAAAGAAAGAAGCTGGACGATCGAGTAGAAAAAAGTGCATATTTGTTAGGTATGAGAGGAGGACAAAAACATACAAGCTCTACAATCTAGCTACAAAGAAGATGATCATTTCAAGAGACGTGGAGTTCGATGAAGAAGATTATTGGAAATGGACCGATGAAGACAAAAATATTAAAGGTATGTTCTTTGAAGATAATGATGATGACTTGCAAGAGGTTGGAAGACCAGAACAAAGTCCACCAAATAGTCCAGCTCCATCAACTTTAGCATCAATGCCAACATCATCACTATCCAGCTCAAGTGAAGGAAGCTCTTCAGGGGAGCAATAAGGAGGAAGAGAAGAATAAGAGATCTGTACGATGATACAGAACCTGTTGAAATGATGGAGGACTACACACTATTTTGCTTATTTGCAGAATGTGATCTAGTCACACTGGTACAAAACGACGCATTCCAGACGAAAAATTCCGTCTGGAATAACTAGATTTCAGTCCAGAAAAAGTATTCCAGACGGAATTACGTCTGGAATACGGGTCTAATTAGTTTCCGTCTAGAATATATAATTCTAGACGGAAATTCCGTCTGGAATGTATTCTAGACGGATTTTAGTAGACGAAAAAAATCGTCTGTAATACATTCCAGACGGATTTTTTTCGTCTAGTATAACTATCCCAGACGGAAATTTTTCGTCTGAGATATTCTACATCCTAAACGAAAAATACCGTCTGGGATGTATCCCGGACGGATATATCCCAGACGGAAAATTCTGTCTGGGATACTTATCTCAGACGGAAAACTTTTCCGTCTGCGATAATTATCCCAGACGGAATAAACCGTCTGGGATAATCATCCCAGATGGTTTATTCCGTCTGGGCTGTATGCAGTAACCCAGACGATTTTACAACCCAGACAAAATATTTCGTCTTGAATGTAAAAAATCCATCTGGGATACTTTCTTTCCCCATTAATGTGCAGTTTCCAGCTTACAAATCTGTAAATCCAGCTTACAAATCTGTAAATCCACTCAAATAACCCTGTAAATCCAGCTTACAAATCTCAAATAAAAATCACATATATACTAACCACACCAACATGATAACTATCCACAAAACAACTTAAATAAATCACACAACAAAGTAACACATGTTTTTTCATACATATCATCTCTCTCTTTAAGTATCTCTCTGTCAACTTATATATTTGCCACACGTATACATATAAATTTGCCGCACAACTCAATCAACTCACTGTTTGTTTTGGGCTCAACACAAAGAAAGTTGTGATTTAAAAATACAACGACGGTTTACAAACTGATATCCAAGTCCATTTTCTCTAGAGAAGCTCAAAGAAATGTAGGCGTCTAAAAAATACCTATGGGTGCCCGCACACAGCTCAAGACAAAGAGAAGGTGATGAACGTCGTTATCCGAATCAAAGAGGATTATCCAACGCCGACAAGCGCATGAAGCGAATCGGCAAACTGTTGATGACACGACAACGAACCACCGCAATGGAAAACACCAAGTGGACTGCATGCGTTAATCAACTCAAAGCGTACAAACGCACCCAACAGTCAGTTAACACGCACGCATCATTCAGCTCGTGCATGTCAATCAGTGCGCGCGTCAGTCAGTTCACGATGGCGTTAATCAACGTACATTAATCAACTCGTGTGGAGCATAAAAGTCAACACGACGGATGAGTAAACAAAACGGGAGAAACTACAAGTCCCGGAAGATCGGAAAAGTCGTAAAAACACAAGAAATCAGCGAAACTCAGCGCGCCGCGCGAGACGGACCAAACCGACCCGCGCCCACGCGGGTCGTCCAAGTCCGACCCGCGGCGGCGCGGGTCGGACAAAGCCCAGACTTGTCCTGCGCGCGCTGTTTTGACCCGGTTCGGTTTTTGATGGTTTTTTCTCGAGATTTGTTGGTTCCTGAGCATCCAAACTAACTTGATATCATCTACAAACGAGGTTAGGCTGTTATTGACTAAAGATAAGGCCAAATCACTTGTTCTTATCCAAATAACCGCTTCCGAAGCCCTATAAATACAAGCATAGGGCCTCCTTTCAGGAAGGGCGATTGATTATCAAGACGAGGAGGTGCTGCCGGATTGTGGAGTCAAAGGAGCACGAATTTCAGCTTCCGAAGCCCTATAAATACAAGCATAGGGCCTCCTTTCAGCAAGGGCGATTGATTATCAAGACGAGGAGGTGCTGCCGGATTGTGGAGTCAAAGGAGCACGAATTTCAGCGAGGGTTGACAGATCTTGGCGAGTTCTTCGGCATAAAGAAGGAGAGTTCTAAGGTCGTCCACGGATAAACCCCGGCACAGGCAAAGATCCCACGCAAGCAGAAGACCGATAAACAATCTCTGCGTTTGTTTTGACGAGAGTTGTAACTTTTTGTTTTCATTGTGTAAAAGTCTTATAAAAAGACAATCTTTTTGTTTTCATTGTAACGACTAAAGTTGTAATGAATACCATAATGAATACAACAATTTTCGACGAAAACAAGCTGGCGACCACAGTGGGAGCCAACGGCCAAGAAACACATGCACCTGCAAGATAAAAAAGAAGGTGGCATTAATTTTTAAGAATATGATATATTCCTAAATTTAGAAGTATGCTTAGTAATAACTAAACATGAGTAATAACTAAACATGAGGCCAAATTTGCAGAATATAAGCAGGATTCACAAATACAGTTGTGCAAATTAGCCTAGTAGGCAGTTGATCTAGCCTGACCGAATCATGTTTTTCATAGATTCACAAATAATGTTAAAGCGTCAGGATATTAAAAAAAAGGTAAATTCCTAAAAGTACTTCAGCAAACAAATCCTCCACAAGCATACACTTTATTAGACTGAGAACATGCCCAATATTAGTCCTAATTTGATCTAAACTATTAGACTCTTTCTTGTATACCGAAATCTGCTTTTACTCTTGCATAGCTATAGTGATTTATTTTTCCTTATATAAGATCAGATGCTTACATTACTCATATTCTTCTTTCATCCAGACATATCAACATCAGCACAGTAAACAAATGAGTTGCTCTGCAAAGGCTCAGCTGCTCTCAAATACCCTTTACTACAAGCGTTTCTTCCCATACTACGCTTTCAATGTTCTGGGGGGCCTTGACAATGAAGGTTGAGTCGGTTTCAAACTTATGTTTTTTGACTTCATCAAACTCTCAATGCTTATCCACCTTATCATCTTCAGGGAAGGGTTGTGTGTTCACATATGATGCTGTTGGATCTTATGAGAGGGTTGGTTACAGTGCCCAAGGTTCCGGATCAACGCTCATCATGCCAGTGTTGGACAACCAACTAAAATCTCCGAGTCCTCTCTTATGTTCTTTTAACACCCCATGCATACAGTCAAGTATCAATATACACAAGACACATACACATGCACAAGACACATACACACATGAGAAGACTTATAGCAATAATTTCCTTGTTATTTTCAATCATGCACAAGACACATACACACATACAGTCAAGTATATATAGAGTTATTATGAAGAAACTTTTGTGTGTTAAGCGCATAAAATAATGGAGCGCACAAGACACATACACACATACAATTAACTAACTTACCTCATAAAATCAAGAGTCCTCAGCATCGTCAAGTTCCCTCCTCTGCACGCCACTACTGCTTCCTCCAGCAAGTCCAGCCTGAAAATAAATAGATTTACATTTAGAGAATGAAATTCAACAAAATAAGACATATTATTAATTTACCTGTGTGCCAACGTCTAAATCTAATTGGTCCAAAACTTCTTCAAATAATTCAGCTGAAATCTTCCCGGACAAGCATAAAACGATGTGTGTAAAAACATCGTCGCTAGTAGGGGATGGAGGCAAATCTGAACACATAGCTGTCATCATCTGCATGAGTAATGTACGCTCGATCTTACCGCGCAGATAACGGTTGACGCGCATAATTGTAGAAGATGCAAGGGTTCTGTTTGATGATGTTGTCGCAGTCGAGGTTGTCGAGGATGCCGTGGAGGATTTTCTGGAGGTACCCCGCTGAGCTCCAACCCCCATCAATGGGTATCTACCCCGGTTATTATACCCCATCACATTCATTGCAATGACATTATTTTCCTCTCTAGACAAGACATGAGGGTCATCAGCAGCTTCTTGGGTAGCACGTAGTGCTGCATCCTTCGACGCGGCAGCAATATTATCCTAAATCACATACAGAAAATAGATATATATTGAATTGGCAAATAATGATTTCAAGTTACAAAAGTTTAAACTCCTAATTAATGAAATGTACAACAACGTAATAGTTATTATTTAATGATTTATTGAAAAATAATTACCACCAAAACCATGTTTTCTTTAATCTTGTCTTCATTTTTATATGTTGAGTGAAAGGTGTCGTAAGCTAACTTTGCCTTCAAATTGATCGGCATTATGAGCTTCCCCTACAAAATATAATAGTAAATGTCAAAAAGTTTGGTCATATTGAAGGTTGTAGCATGTGAATACAACAACGTAAATATTATACCGTGTCTCGACAATAACTATACTCAAGATTGGCAAAGGACGTCGATCCCAAGTGGTGGTCAAGCTTCCGCTTGCTATGTCGGTTCGTCGAGCCCTTCTTAGATTTATCCTACAAAAATTACGCGTGTTAAAAATAAATTGCATTTACAATATGCTCATGTACGCAACCTGATAATGTACTCGTACCTGTGCGGACTCGGTATCCCAATAAAAAAGAAGAGCCGTGAAATGATCGAGATCCACCCTCTCATCGAGATTTAAAAATCTCTGCTAATCTTGGGTATATTTATCATATGTTGATATCTTCAGCTCATGTCGCCACTGTTTGAGCACGGCCTCAACTTTGATATTGAAAACATAGTGCCACGCCCCCGGGTAGTCCTTACATCCCAAATACAACAAGTCTGAGTAAAGGAAATAAGGCACACAGCCTTTACAACATCTAGGAATAAAGTCCTCAACCGTCTAAACAAAGTCTATAGTGGAGCTCCATAATAAAACATAGCTAGAATAGACAGTCGAACACTAAAGTGTGTCGTCATCAACCTGCGACTCTCCGGGCTCCTGGCTCGTGACCTGAAAGGGGGAGGGATAACGAGCGTCAAAGCGCTAGCAAGCAACATCACAACCAACCCCAAGGGAGAGGGCTCATTGTATAAGAAAAATACAGTTATCACAAAGTATATATATATATATATATATATAAACAATTACCCTAACAATAAACAATGGGTCTTAGTACTTATGAAGTTTCAACACGGGCATAGGTACGTCGAGCGAAATAATCCAAACAAGGA